TTTTTTTTTTTTTTTTAGAGGGGGGGGGGGGGGGGGGGGAAGTCGTCAGAGAAAATATGTTATTGTGTTTAGTTTTTTTTTAGGAGATGGCGCTGTTAATGTCCATGTTATTTATTTATTTTGCAGCAAGGGGACCGTGACGAACCAACCAAGGGAAATAAGTTCAACGCCTAAAAAAAACAAACGCTACAAACAGTGGCGATACGTTCAACGTCTGACTTTATTTACATATTGTTACAAAGAAATGCTGTTCATGGGTGGGTGGGGGGGGCGGTAAAGGGTTTGTAGTCTTACGGGGTGGGGTGGTAGGATTACCTAAAGGGTCGTTCGCAAATTACGTCACGCAAAAAATGACCCTTTTAGACTCTCTCCCCCCCCACCGTCACAAAGTGTCACAATTTCTCGACCCCCTCCCCCTCCTCCCCTGAGCGTGAAATTTGATGGAACGGAAATTTGGTCGAATCTTTTTTTTTTCAGTTCACACGTTAAAATTTTCGTCAAATTTCTTTTTGAACACACTTTAATATATAATAAAACAAAATAATGCGTCTATTTTCAACTGTCTACATCTTTGAAGACCAGGAAAACAAAGTTTTAACTGTTTTAAGTTTTATATTTCAATACAAATTTAATTTTGTGGCATCGTTTATAAAAACTCTTACCTCAAATTCTAAGTTTATTTCTTTATGTCTTTTGTTGATTTAGTACTTAAATAACAAAGTTCACTGATTATTTTAAGTTTGACAATTATTTATAGCTGAATGGGACTTGCTAGAATCTCTCACCAAATCCTCCCTTTCAGACTACAATTATTTCTCACGATCTTTGAATAGTGGCTTCATGTAAGAGATGATTTTCACAACTGAAACTTATAAAGAACTGTTGGCGATCTAAAATGGAATAGTCTGAGCTTTCTGGTCTTGCCATTTTGTCAATTGAAAGTGATAAGATAAAGAATGTTGATTTTTGATGAAGTGATTGACGACCATGAAAGTAAAGTTACAACTTATTAATGTTACAATAAATAGTAATTTTGATGCATTTTTTAAACGCTGTAAACTCAATCTCTTTATTTTCTTACCATGTATTTTGTTACTATAGGACTTAATTTATAAACAATACTATTTATGATTCTGTATGATCTGGTTAAGACCTGCTCTGTACTGGCCCGGGGTGGGGGGGGGGGGGGAAGGGTGTCCGGATTGGGGGTCCATGTATTTTGTTACTATAGGACTTAATTTATAAACAATACTATTTATGATTCTGTATGATCTGGTTAAGACCTGCTCTGTACTGGCCCGGGGTGGGGGGGGGGGAGGAAGGTTGTCCGGATTGGGGGAGGGAGGGGGTGCCACCAAAAGTTTACCGATTGACATCAACCTTAGTGACGCCTTTACCTTTCTTTGATTCAATTTTTGTTTCCAGAGGTGTGAAACCAAAAAACCTCATCTCTTGTTGATTTTGATGAGACTTTTTTTTCCTGCTTTTAAATGTCCACCGCTAGGACGATGTTGCTGTTATTTTATAGCTTGCAGTTTTCAAACCAGCCACCGACAACTTTATCTTGTGGTTTTACGGGCTAAAAGTAAAGGCTCTGGCCAAAGTTACCTTATCCCACAAATGAGAGAAATCCTAATGCTAAGGCTACCTGAAATATGGTGTGTACCAAATCACTCATAATAATTAAATAAAAAGAAAATATAAAAAAAACACACGCCTTATTACGGACCAGACCATAGATGACATTCAAATTTTTAAGGACAATACACTCTCTTTTAAATACGGCATATACTTATATGCTAGTCATATCACATGCATCGATCCAAGATAATTTTATTTAACAATAAAACAAAATATAATTATAATGGCATGCGGACAGTTAAAGTTTTGTACCGAATATTTAAACAATTAATAGATTATTTAACTTAAATAAAATCTTAATCTGCGAAATAACAATTTCTTGGGATTTGTTCACCGAGTTTACCTGGCAGAGTGGCAACTTCCGTCCATTTTGCAAAATGGCGGAACGACGCGTTATGCCCGATGATCTAAAAAATATTGAATTTGAAACAAGTGAAGATGTTGATGTCACACCCACATTTGATCATATGGGATTACGAGAGGAGCTTTTAAGAGGAATATATGCTTACGGTATGTATCCTGCGAGGAGCAAAATATTTATTTTTCATGATATGCAAAATCAGAAAATTGTCAGTTGTCTTCTTGAATGGTGTGTGAGCAGTTTAGTATATAAATATATATATAGTATAGTTAGTCACTCAGTAGATAATGGAACGGCACCACATCAATCAAGTGCGACGCAATTATAAAAGCCATAGACTCAATGTTCGTTAATCAATTATTTTACTTCCAAAAGTTAAATAATAATTAACTTAAACACTTCCTTTGAACCCTTGCCTACGCCTACGGTACCCAGCACCTCTTTTTGCAGTGACCTAATTTTTCCGTCTTTTTTTTCCGTTTTCCCTGTGGCCCAAGCGCGTCTATTTGCCACATAGAGGGGTATCTAATATCACAGAAACGAGGTTATAACCTTTCATCACAGTCTCGGGCAGAATGTTTATTCGTTAGGGGAATAGTCAAATTATAATTTGCCTTTTAAATTATGAAAATCGACCAATTACTGAGTTTTTTTTTTTGTTGTTTCCATGGCGCTACCTAATCGCTATTGTTGGTGGCGACTTACGCCCACTTGATGAAACCTTTTGTTCTGAAAATATTATTGAGCTTTAATTGGGATTAGAAGTGTTTTTTAAACACCCTTATCCATTTCTGAACAGATAATTCTCTGCATGTTATTATCAATTGTTTAAAACAAAAAAAAAAACAAAATAAATTAACAGTCCCTTCAAATTTTGACTCGTTCCAAAATAATGTCTGGGCCACAGGGAATAATTAGCCAATTAATGGCCGGTACTGAGACAATAAAAGCAAAAAGTAGGTCAGTACCGTAAGGGTTAAGTTAAATAAAGTGATATAATTTTAAAAAATTGATGGTTAAGTTTACTCTCAGATGTTTTCCAAGGCTGTGATAAAAAGGGGGTGGTGGAGCCTCTGGTATAAAAGGTCATGCCATTGTCTATATATTGGGTGCACCATCTTCAACCTGGGCACTGTTTTTCAAATTTGAATGATGTTGAGGGGTGTTCAATAATTTAAGACCTAAAAAATAATTACACAATTTTGCATTCTGAACTTTTTAAAATAAAATGCTTGATCATTCATGATGCAATGGGAAATGTTCCACTAAATAGGACGCAAAAGGAATTGGAAAAAAGTGAAATGAGCGGATCTGTTATCAAACAAATAATTGCATAAATTCTTCAGAATCACATTAAAAGGGACTATTTAGGTATTTTAGTAACATTTAACAAAGAATACAAATTCTAGTATGTAATTTCTTTTTTAGGTTTTGAAAAGCCATCAGCCATCCAACAGAGAGCCATAAAACCTGTGGTGAAAGGTAGAGATGTCATTGCTCAGTAAGTATATTCAAATTTCTTTTTTTTTTTTTTTTTTAAATCAGCAGTTTTAAGGTGTCCTCTTTTTCTCTACTCATAAACTCTTTGTTTTCATCCAACAGAGAGCCATAAAACCTGTGGTGAAAGGTAGAGATGTCATTGCTCAGTAAGTATATTCAAATTTCTTTTTTTTTTTTTTTTTAAATCAGCAGTTTTAAGGTGTCCTCTTTTACTCTACTCATAAACTCTTTGTTTATCACAGGGCACAGTCAGGTACTGGTAAGACTGCCACATTTTCAATTGCTATTTTGCAATGTTTGGACACACAGATTAGAGAAACACAAGCTTTAATACTCTCTCCTACACGTGAGCTTGCTACGCAGATACAAAAGGTAAATAAAATTTCTTAATAGGAGCACTTTCTCCATTACATGGGTCTTTGAATTGTGCAAGTGCAGCTGATCAGTTACACACAAGTGATTAACACATAGGTGTACCTGTTAATCCTTGATGCTTCTAGTGTGCTTAAATATGTATAAAAATAACTGTGAAATAAATAGACATCAGACTATAAAAGTCCGTAAAGTGTATCTACTTATCTACTTTTAATTGAATGCAGGTTATTTTGGCTCTTGGGGATTACATGAGTGTTCAGTGCCATGCTTGTATTGGAGGGACAAATGTTGGAGAAGACATCAGGAAATTGGATTATGGGCAGCATGTGGTTTCAGGAACACCCGGTAGAGTCTTTGGTAAGTAAATAAGAATTAAGTGCTATAAGTTTATGAGTTTATGGATGCATATTTATTATTTAAGTAATTTTTTAACATACATAATGATAAGTTGTAGATGCTGACAACTATTGTAACATCATTTTTTTTAAATAGAAGTTTCAATGCCTCGAAAGTGATTTGGTAACTAATCATTTCTTTATTTATTATTGTGAATGTTGAACCTTTAGATAAATAAATTATAATTACAAAGGTGAATGCTTGATTATTTTTTGTTGCCTGCACCAATTAAATTTATTAATAACTTTTTGTGTTGCAATATACAATGCTGATTTGTTTTAAAAAAAATATTTTCAAAAATTAACAAAAACATATTTAAGTTTTGTCTACATTAAATTATTTGCTACTTTTTGTTGTGTTTAATCTTGTCTTTAATAGAAAGTCTTTTTGAAAAGTTTTTTAAAATTCAAAATCATCTTTGATACATAAATACATTCAAAAATTTGAAGAACAATGATTATTTTATGATTGAATGTATTTTGAAAATTCAGATATGATCAAAAGACGAAATCTTCGCACAAGGTCAATAAAGATGCTTGTTCTTGATGAAGCTGATGAAATGCTTAAAAAGGGTATGATGTAAAATTAATTATTAGCTGGGATTTTGGATGTTCTTATAATTAGATTATTTGTTAAGCTAGCTCCTATCTTCTATATGGTAATGACAATGATGTTGATGGTCAAAACATCATTTTCGTATGATATTTAATAACTGCTTCATTAAGGCGTCTAATTTCTCCTAGGTTTCAAGGAACAGATTTATGATGTTTACAGATATCTCCCACCAGCCACACAAGTTGTTCTAATCTCAGCTACACTTCCACATGAAATCCTGGAAATGACCAACAAATTTATGACAGATCCCATTCGTATCTTAGTCAAACGGTTAGTTGTTTATTTAAAATATAGTTTCTATAGGTGATTATTCCTTTATATTTTGTTGTTGTTGAGGTCGTTGTTAAATTTAGGTTATCTTAAAGCACTTAATTCCGTTTCATGATAATTTTTTATATGAGAGATTGATTTTTCAGTTACAAAGGAATTTCCAAATATGTTATCACAACACGTCTAGATTCAATGACCCAAAATTTTTAGTATTTTAATATAATTTCTAAAGAGTCATTATATTTATTAAGACAAGATTTAAAGTATTGGGGACATTTAAAAAAACAACTTATTTAGATAATTTGTTTTGGTGTTTATTTAAAGTGACGAGCTGACGTTGGAAGGCATCAAACAGTTTTTTGTGGCTGTGGAGCGTGAGGAGTGGAAGTTTGACACCCTCTGTGATCTCTATGACACACTGACCATCACACAAGCTGTCATCTTCTGTAACACCAAAAGGAAGGTTGACTGGCTGACCGACAAAATGAGAGAAGCCAACTTCACAGTTTCATCCATGCATGGTGACATGCCACAAAAAGAGAGGGAAACTATTATGAAGGAGTTCAGATCTGGGGGAAGGTATTTTTGTCCTTATTTGTGTTCTGTGGTGCTTACGGGTCTGAGACTTGGTAATTTTGGTTTGGTTACACAAATCTAAATGATATTCCTGTTTTTGTCTGCAGTTATTACTCAGTGGGATAGTAATGCTCAAATGTGTATCCTAATCTTCAGTCAACTCACTTCACTTCTTTCCTATTCCGTATGCATCCTTGTGAGCTCCATTTCCCTCTTTGATCTTAAACTCTAGGAGCTAGAAGACCGTTTTATCCTGGTAATTCCTTTTCTTGGATTTTATTTCGCAATAATAACAGGTTTTGGCATGCACATGGTATAAGCTCTGTAATAGCTGTGTTATTTACATGAAGGTCTATATAGGTGTTTCTAACATCTCTAACTCACTTTTCTTCAGTCGTGTGCTCATCACCACAGATGTGTGGGCAAGAGGTATTGATGTTCAGCAAGTATCCCTGGTGATTAACTATGATTTGCCAAATAGCAGAGAGTTGTACATTCACAGGTAAGATGAAATTTTGAAACAATTATCTCCTTGCCAAATAAGATCTGTTCAGAAATTGGTTTAGAGCAGAAATTTGAGGTCAAAATTTTTCTTTCTTGAAAAAAGGCTGCTTCTAAATCTTATTCTCAAAGTAAGGACCATTTTTTGTTAATTACAGTTAGTTTCTATTTTATGGGCAAAGTTTAATGGGCCTTAAGAAAGTGTAAATGCCAGATTTTTTATTGTGACAGTTATTTATGCTTAGTTCCCGCCAACTAGAATTGAAAATGATGAAATTGTTTGATATTATCTAAAAGCATAAAGAATTGCAAAATAATGCTGTCAATTAATAAAATGAAGATGTCCCAGTTTTAACTGTGGTCGGCCAATGTTTTCAATCTGCACTGTGGTGGCTGAAAAGAAAATCGGGCGATATAAAAACATGATCAGATAGCAACTTCCAATCCAATACTTAACCGGAATTATAGCCACTTCCTTATATTAATAATTAAATTATCTTCCGGGACCAGCTGTTTGCTGATAACTTTCCAATCAGTACTTTTTAATCAGAGTTTTATATCACTGTTAATTTTTAATTCTAAATGGATGAAGCTATGACTGGGCCGCCAGTACAATAACTAATAGAAATATTTTTGAAAGCTTTTAAGGAGAGGATTTCATTGCTACTGATGATTTTAACATTCCCCATGACGATCTCAGTTCGGATTCTTCTTCTAATGAATCTGATACTAGTCCTAGTGATCCTAAAGTAGACCTACTGTTAGGCTTCGAGCCAGGCACAGAGGTAGGGCAAGGACTGGCTGAATTTTAGTCCCAGAAGCTGCAGATTATAGATCAGAACTCATAAATTTTATAGTTACACAACCCAAATCAGTTCTACAGTTCATTTTTAAATGTTAACTTGTCAATAATATCTTTTGTGCCAGAGATTTTGTAAGTTATTCTTAGTTTTAGCTGTGGTTCCAGTTTCTTTTTTTTTGTGATAATAAATGACCTAAAATTGCTTTCAGGGGTTTATTTGTAATCGAAATCTTAGAAAACTATACATTTTCTGAAAGATAAATGAATTGTCTACCATATTTCTATAAGAATTTTAATGGAAACTATAAAAATTAATAATGTTATGAGTACTTGAAAGCAGGACATTTTGTTGACTTTTTTTTCCTGGAGCACTCCAAGGTATAGAACACTGAACAAATTATTTTTTTTATGGGGTGGGTAATATAGCCAACTTTATCCCCATTCTTTTACCTTTCTAAAAATATATACTTTCTTGTATCAATATTTTTATGTCATTTAATGCTATTTCAAAAGGCACTTAAAAAGCTCTGAAAAGCTTCCACACTATGGAATGATCTATGCCACAGTTTGTGGGTTAACTAAAATTACAGTTTAATACAGTTCATGTGTGTTTGTTGGGGAGGAAGGATGGTCTAGTAATATGTTATGTTGTCTAATTAATTTCTGTTAATGTTGTTACAAAACTCCATTAATTTGATATTGTATACTATACTGACAGAATTGGCCGCTCAGGTCGTTTTGGACGCAAGGGTGTTGCCATCAACTTTGTGAAAAATGATGACATCAGAATTCTCCGAGATATTGAACAGTACTACGCGACACAAATTGATGAAATGCCCATGAATGGTAGGCACACTTATCTCCCCTACTTACACGTAAACTTGACAAGGTCCAGCTAATTATTATGTAGCTATTTTCCTATTTAAAAAAGAAGTTGTGGCAGAGAACGTAAGTTGAGGTTCGGCAATATTTGTATGACCTTAGGAAAGATTTATTTTAGCAATGCAGATGAATTCTTGAAAAGTTACTCGCTAAACATTGTCTTATCCATAATTTCAGTTGCTGATCTGATCTAATGTTGCTGTCTTTTTGTACATTGGATGTGGACACACTTTTCAAGTCAACTTGCTGTGTGTTTGCTGAGTAAACCAGGTGTTTAGACAAGCCACCTTTTTATGCTCCTGGCAATGAAAGAAAATAAATTCGGCAACATTGACGTTCAGTATGGTATTTGATGGCTCTAAATGTTCCATGGGGTGAGCCATGTGCTGACTTGTCTGATATAAATTATTTGGTCAACCAGTTAAATAAACCCAGAGATCTGCCACATTTTACAGAGTGTAAGAGTTTTACTTGATGTCACGGCAGAGTTAACTCTCTGAAACTACTATTGCAATTTTGAATTTTAATTTTGAAAATCAATAAATAATTGGACAAATGCAATCCCACTTTTTAGCGCAAATCATTTCCAAGTCACGTTTCAACTGTACGAAAGCAGTACACATTATTCTATTATAACAAAACTTTGTGGTAGAAGTATAATAAAATTGCTTTCATTCAATTTTGCTAATCTTGTGTAATATTTGCTTAATATTTGCTGTCAACGCAGAATTTTACTGAGTCTCTTTAAAAAGTTGATGATTTGAAGATTTTTTTTGTTTACACGTCTATGGCTTGGTTGTCTTTAAAGCAATGTGGGCCCTTACTTAGAATTAAAACCTGGCTTTTGAAATGCCACATATTTGATCAGGCATCCTTTAAAACTTTTCTGTAGCTGGCAGATTTCTGTTGACTGTGAATTTGTACTTCTTAGCAACAATGTCCATCTACGTGTCCTGGTCTGCACCTCTTTTACCCATGGTCACTTTTGTTTTAAATTAAACAAATTTAATATTTTAAACCTGCTTTTAAGTTTTTCTCATTTTATACAATTTATTTAATATTCATTTTGTGAATTTTTTTACTGCTTGGAGAGAGAATCTGTCCGTTCACTGACATTTTTAGGTTCTTTGTATGTTTTCCCTGGAGCTGGCTGGTGCAACAATCCGTTGTGTTTTTTTTTTTTTTTTTTGTTTTGATGGTGCAGCTGTAGTTTTTGCAGGCCTTTGTAAAGCGATCTAGTGTTTTTGGTTTGTACTTTAAGGATGGCCCCATATTAATATTCAGTGATAAGGACATTTTTTTTTTGTTTTTTATCTGTCCGTTCACTGACATTTTTAGGTTCTTTGTATGTTTTCCCTGGAGCTGGCTGGTGCAACAATCCGTTGTGTTTTTTTTTTTTTTTTGTATTGATGGTGCAGCTGTAGTTTTTGCAGGCCTTAGTAAAGCGATCTAGTGTTTTTGGTTTGTACTATAAGGATGGCCCCATATTAATATTCAGTGATAAGGACATTTTTTTTTTGTCTTTCCTGTATTTGCCTTTTCGTTCAGCCTTTTGGCTAGACAACAAAGTGCGAGACACAGGGTTGTTACACTTCTAGGGTCACAGTGTAGAGACAGTTTTGTTACCCAGCTAGAGTCACAGGATTGCTACAAAAGCTGAGTTGAGCTTGGCTGTTTTCCGATCATTTCAAAATAGTGACCATTGTTAAATTCATCACAAAAGTACATTTCTCCGTTGATACATTGCTAATTAGTTGAAGGTATTGGTTGGACACATCATCAATTTGATCAAACTAGATGACATTTTTCCAATGATGTATTTTTTTAAATCATAATAATAAGTACTTAAACAAACTTATGAATTCATATTTCACAGTAAATTTTGTATGAAGGCATTTCAATCCATACAAAGGGACATAATGGCTTTGAGACATTCATTAATGATTAAGATTTCAATCCATACAAAGGGACAATGGCTTTGAGACATTCATTAATGATTAAGATTTCAATCCATACAAAGGGACAATGGCTTTGAGACATTCATTAATGATTAAGATTTCAATCCATAGAAAGAAACATAGTGGCTTTGAGACATTCATTAATGTAAAAAATTTCAATCCATACAAAGAGACATAGTGGCTTTGAGACATTAAACAATGATAAAGATCGGTAGTACATGTGTACAACACTTTGGGAGGAACACACAAACATATAACACTTGGTGATGTTCTGATCAGCACATATGTAGGCTACAACACTTTGGGATGAACACACAAACATAGAACACTTGACGATGTTATGACTATCGCAAATGTGTAAAAAGTAAAATCAATGCTGCGCTGTAGGATATAAATATTTTGTGGATTTTTTTTTTAAATTTTGGGAAAAAACGAAAATTTTAAACAAGTTACTGAATTAAGTCCATGTTGAAAAAAAATAAAGAAGGCCCCTACTGAGTCCACGAGCAGAGATAGTGTATCTAAAAATAGGAATTGGGTGGGTGACAGTTAAAAAGGCATAATAATAATTGTCAAAAACATTAACACGCATGAGAGCAAACAAATTAAAATAATGAAACAATATTTCTGAAACAAGTTTAATGGAATTAAACGGATGGTCAAAATTTGAGAGCCCAAAGTGCCCGACAAGGTGGGCACTCGTGAGCTGTCGTAAAGAAATTCTGTAGAGAAATTATTCAAGATTTTTTACAACAGTCTTGTCAGACAGGGCAGTTATCCTAAAAGTCGTACAGACTTTTTAAGGACTTATTAAAGGACGATGCAGAAAAAACATAAAGTAAGATTAAGGGTACCGGAAATTTTTACGAAATAATTTTTGGGACGGAAAATAGTTCGACGGGAAGTTTGTTCGGAATGAAAAATAAAAATAAATAAATTTGATTTAAAATTAACATTTTTTACCATTTCTCGGTCGCACCTTACTCATAAAACATCTTTACGATAAATAAATGAAATGCAATACATTTTAAAAATAAATCTCTGTTGAACAAACTTCATCACAAACAAAACTTAAGTTTTTAACAAACTTCCATTTGAACAAATTACTGTCGAGCAATAAATCGTTCGAAAAAATTTATTTCGCTCAAATTTCCGGACACACAAAAAACATAACTTATGGTGATGGATGACTAATACATGAGTTTTATAAATGTTCCATTTACTTCCAGCAAAGTTGTCGCGTCAAATAATTACAAGCATGGCATAAATATTAAGGCAACATCCCAAAAAAGGAGATATCATGTTGATATAATGAAGCCATACGTTTCGATCAAATAAGATACATTGTGATATAAAAATAATGATAAAAAGTTGAAATAAGATGATTGAAAGTTGATGTAGGATGATATAATGATAATGGCATGTAGTAGGTACATTTTATGCTTAAAAAAAATCCATTTGTTTACTCTATGTCACGTTATATTTACACAGTAATATAACAAGACTTGATAATCTCCTTCAGTAGAACTACATTGTGAGACCCGGATGAAGAGCTACGGTGAATTTTCTCAGTGCGGACCGGTAAGAGTTAATTCCACCCATGGCGGGCCGAACTTTCTGCTGCCCCATACTATGAACGTAAAAAAAACCCTTCAGTTGGCCGAAAAATGTATGCGAGAAAGAGATAATTAAAACTTTAATATAACCAACAGAGAGTGTGTCCTAGTAAGAATGTAACCAACAGAAAGTGTGTTCCAGTTAGAATGTAACCAACAGAGTGTGTCCCCAGTGAAATTGTAACCAAAAGAGTGTGTCCCCAGTGAGAACGTAACCAACAGAGAGGTGGTCTCTGGTGAGATATTTCAGACACTACAAACAGCGTTTGTAGGTCTGCCCGAGTCGCATCCACTCGCTAACGGTCACCTCTGGTGGTCTGCGTGAAATCTGCAAAGAGCAGGCTGTCTCGAAATATCTAGGTCATTGCAACTATTTTTAGCTGCCGAGAAACGTAGATTTGATTGTTCTTACTTTAGGGCACCAAATATCATGGAAATGAGTCTTGTTTAAAAAAACAATAATATTCATGTGCTGCTCATGTTTCTGTGATCTCTTTGAAATCCTCCAAAGCCAACCTAAACTAGTTTTGCAATGGGTCGCTTAACGTTAACCAAAGAAACAATTTTAACTTTAAAACCGTTGGTAATGTGGGCCAAACTTGAAGAAAGACGAAGTGTCTTCCTTATTACCCGAGGCGTCACTGGGGCTGGTGTCACCTGATGCGGTTCACTTATGGTGTCCCCCCCCCCCCACACTCCTCCAGACCTCCACCCCAGGATCGACACCGAGTCATTCTTAACCATATCATGTATACATAATCGCTTGTAGAGGGAGTCAACATAAAGAGTGTATTGCTTATGGTTCTCTAAAGGGAGGCGCCGCTGATTTGATTCACGTTTTGGCTGTCGCAAAGTTAAGTTACGCCCCTGATCTCGTGAAAAAAACTCAGCCGACGCTCTGGTGGGCTGTTTTTTGAAGCGTTAGCCGCAGCGGTCGGCAATTCGCGGCTCGCCAGCCGCATGCGGCTCTTCGGCGACCCGAGTGCGGCTCGGCCAGTCGGCCACAAATCGGTTTTGACTCCTAAAAACATGGTTCTTGACAGGTACTTGAAAGGAAATTTGGCTCTCCAAAGTTTTTTTTTTAAAAATCGCCCTGCTGCTGATTTTTTGTGTGGCTCTTTTGACTAATGAGTTTGCCGACCACTGCGTAGTGTATGACATTCTCACCATTATGAGTAGTATTAAAATTTAAACAAAGCTGAAACCATTTTTATGTGCGTGCGCTACATCTCATTTTTTTTTTACCGGACATCCTAACGCTCTGACGGACACACACATTTTTTTACCGGACATCCTAACGCTCTGACGGACACACACATTTTTTTAAAGACGAAAATAATTGTTCAGACTGTAAAATTTACTGGACGGTCGATAACCCTTGGTGACAACGAATAATTGCAAATAGGACTAACCTCGCATGAGTCGGGTTCATAACATTTCTAAGTTAAATTACAAAAGCAGGACAGTATGCCACCAGACGCATTGCCACCGGAACCAAACCCCCCACCCACCCCCCCCCCCAAAAAAAAAAAAACAACAACAAAAAACATGTAGCCACCAAAGCATCATATGCGTTTTCCCATAAGTTCAGTCACCTAGCTTTAAAATTTGTGACACTCTTAGAGGGTCAGAGGCGTAGCTAAAGAGGGGGGAGGGGGCAGGTGTAGAAAGATGTCCCTGGGCGCCAAAATGTGCTTTGACATTATTTTATTGATGAAAAGAATGGGTTTGAGAGTTGAAAAAAAAAAATTAAAATTTGTGGCACTCGTAGAGGGTCAGAGGGGTAGCGAAAGGGGGGGGAGGGGGCAGGTGTAGAAAAATGTCCCTGGGCGCCAAAATGTGCTTTGACATTATTTTATTGATGAAAAGAATGGGTTTGAGAGTTGAAAAAAAAAAAAAAAGAAAGGGAGGCTCTTTAAAATGAATCTTGTCCCCGGGCGCCAAACACTCCTAGCTACGCCCCTGCAGAGGGTCATGCTTAAGCGGCGTTCAAGTCAGATAAAAAGATGAAAAAGCAACTCGTATATCAATTCCTTTATGTATTGCTTTACATTTACTGTTGCATTTGAATTATACATATATATATATATATATATATGTATAATATATATATGTATCTACACTCTTGTTTGCCCAAGATTCAAGGGTCTCCGGCACAGGCGAAGTAGCCAAAAAGTTTCTTATAAATTTTGACGTTTTCAAATTCATAACTGAAATGGGACCTCCTAGTCCTAGAATCCCTCTTAACTCTCTCATTATGCCTAAAATTATTTCTCACAATCTGCATGTCTGTGGCTTCATGGAACATGAGAATAAAAAAAAAAAAGAACCTCTAAAGCAGTGGTTATCAACCTTTCCAATGCCGCGACCCTTTAATAGCGTTCCTCATGTTGTGGTGACCCACCACCATAAAATTATTGTCGTTCATACTTCATAGATATGTATTTTC